GTAATTTGATTTATTTATAAAATATTAATTTTTCGAAGTAAACCAATCACGATCAATTAAATTTAATTATTATAAGAATTATAATAATCTAAAGGTTTTCAGATAACAAATATTGAAAATTTTAATTACATTAATTCAAATATTTTGCAAGTAGTTGCGAGAAATGCAAAACAATTTATATTTTAATACATAGTTCAAACTAAAAGAAATTTTGTCTTTATAAATGCAGCTTTTAACTTTTGCTATTTATCTTGTTTTAATTTTTCATATATTCATATTAATTACAAATGCTAAAAGTTTTTTAAAAGTTAACGTAATATTATGTGCCAATACACTTATTGATACCTTAGCTGCCATCTAGTTAATATTGTGAAAACTTATTAAAAACAAGTGATTCTATTTTTTTGTTTTTATTCATCTATCTATCAAAAAAACAAAAGAAACTCAAGAAGTAAATAAAACAAATGAAAATTCCTGTTATCTCTTTCGTGAAATTCCTAATTAATTAGTAGATAAACATGCAACGTTACTGAAGAAGTCGTTAATACAGGATGCTGTCCGAACAGCTGTTCTATAACCTCCAAAACCGTAGTCAACCATAGTCTTATGTAACATATTTAATTAAGTGTTGTTTACTTTCCTAAATTATAAACAAGATGGTAAAAGCCTCAGAGACCGGGGGCGTAAAGCCCATGTCCATTGCTGGACGTTTTATTCGGGAAAGAGAACGTTTACTTGGTATGTCAGATGAAGAAAGAAAGTGGCGAGCCCAATGGTTAAAAGACCAACAACTAACCCCCAACGAACCCAAACATGTTCCAGAATTGTATAAAGAAAAGTATAATTTTATTCGAAGAGCGTACAAAGCTCCTTTAGATAAGTTGGCTAGTGTTTTAGAACCAACATTGGGGCATGACCGTACTGTGAAGTATCGGTATTTTACAGGTACCATTGCTTGCAGTTAGGTTTAAAATATATATTATTGGTTGCTTTTTTTACAGGGAAATTCTTTTTGGGTTTGTATTTAACACTAGGAGCATTTTACTATTTCAAATACAACAGCTACGATTGGACGTATAAAGGTGGTTGGAAAGTTATGCACTCCAGGAAGTCAGTGTTACCTGGAGATCCAAACTGGCCGGAAGTGTCAGACAAGAAGCCTAATGAATATGCTGACTTTGGTTTTAGTAAAAACACTCTAAACTTGTAAATAAATAAAAATAATCATAAGAATTAATTAGTTGTATTAGGTAAAAAATTAAAAATAAATTAAGTATATACATTTACTCTTTTGTTTTTCAATTGTATAAATAGATAAAAGAATTATTTTATGTTTAAAAAAATTGCAATTAAAATTAAAAAAAAATAAAAAAGTAATTCGTGTGCATTTAATATTGCACTTATTTGATTAATAGAAGTTAAAATACACCCCTGTTCAGGGCCGGATCTATATATGAGCTTTTTGAGTTGAAGCCCAGGGAAAATGGATAATATTGTGAATTTAGAAAATAAAAAAAAGGTAATTGCTTTATAATTTATAAAACAATTGCCCTATTTTTTTCCCNGAAGAAATGTGAAAACGAAGCTTTTTTCTAGGCTTATAGAGAACATTGGGAACATATACCGCATCAACACTACTATACTAAAGTTTCCTTTTTTATAACCATCGAAATTTCCTGTCTCTTACGTAGGCAATGTAGGTGTAAGCTTATTTTTAATTTAAATCGAACGAAAATTGGCAATGTGGATAATAATTTAATTTAACTTATAGTTCATCCTAAATTCATTGGTATTACAATTCTTTCTACCTAATAAAATGTTAGTCAATATTTTAACTTAGATTTTGGGGTGCACTTAAAATGAATTTAAAGCTTTTTATTCAACTTTTCTTCGAATTTTTTAATTTTTAGTCGATAGATTCAATGAATTATATAATGTGGAAAATGTCTTCACATTTAAAACGAAAGAGATAAGAGGGTTCTTCAAAAAAATAAAACACTATTGTAAAGTTAAAAGGCGTTGCAGTATTACGGCTAAAAGGTATGGTGATGACAATTTCTTTTTCGACGTGAAAAACTAATTTTAATACTACAAGTAGTTTCGATAGGATTAATTATTTTATTCAATCTATTTCCCTTAATATCCTTAAATACATAAATCAATATCAAATGTATGTCTGAAATACTAGGTAAGTGTAATACTTATCCACTATTTGAATATTTTTAAATCGCTCTTAATAATAATGCAAGGGATGGTTTGCGACAAGATTTATTTTTTATGTTTACGTTAATAAGTGTTATAAAATAAATATAAATAAGTTTGGTTTTTGGTAAAAGCACTTTTAATAAATAAAATAGTCATAGCATTTTGAAAATTCGATTCGACTCGATTTATTTAAGTATATCTATTATATTTTATAAATTTTAGATGTTTAATAACGTTGGAATAACGGAAGGAAGGTAATTTTGCCACAATTTTAATTTGTTCCATTAATCATCAAAAATAGTTTTAAAAAGAGGATGAAGTTATAATAAATCTTGTGAAATCACCCGGTAGGTTCCCTCGGGCGAATTCTGCAATCGTGGGCAACTTGGTGAAGCTCAGAAAATCCCGTTTCTGCTACATTTACCCGAATTACGTTTTGAAAAAGCTTAGTTTGCAGGTAAGTAAGCAGGTGCTTTTTGTAGTACAACTGTATTACTACAACAGCCCCTACCTTTTACTACGGTATCCAGAGGTATACGCGAACATCCTGCAGCGCAGTTGTCGTATTGCTGGTATCTTGTTATCGGAAACTCATATTGGAAACTAGGTCTGTGGAAAATAATACGTCACTGCACAGAAACTTGCGTGACCTTCGTCTTTTACTCTACTACATAGCGTAGTAATACGGGATGAAAAAACTAACAAATTAAAAAAAAATATTCGCGCCCTAAAGGTTCCGTATTCTTATATATTATCCGAAGGGTTGATTTGTATTAATCACTTTATAATTACGCAGGGTACTCATTTGCAACGTAATTTTATGAAGTCCGAATCTTGCTTTCTTTTTCTTACGATGAAACTAACACTTATTTGTTTATATGAAAAATAATTTGCTGTTTGCGATGTGTATTAACGTCAACTATAAAATAAATGTTACAAGAAAATTTTATAATAATATAAATAAAGCTATTTTATAGGTTAATCATCAGAAATTTTGAATCATTCGGTAAAACTTCCGAATATTATATATAAAAGAAATTATAAGTAGTACTTATTACTATGTGTCGCATATCTATTTACAAACGATTCCTTTAAATTTTAATCATTGATTACTATACATCTATTAAAAAACCATAATGGCCGACATCAGTGACACAACAGCAACAATTAGAAAAGAATGATGGCCGACATCAGTGACAATGCGACAACAATTGAAGAATGATGGCCGACAACAGCAACAATTAGAAAAGAATGATGGCCGACACTACGTCATAATATTGTTCACAAAAGTGCATTCCGACCACTCGAAGCATCAGTGCTAANAGAAAAGAATGATGGCCGACATCAGTGACAATGCGACAACAATTGAAGAATGATGGCCGACAACAGTAACAATTAGAAAAGAATGATGGCCGACACTACGTCATAATATTGTTCACAAAAGTGCATTCCGACCACTCGAAGCAATAGTGCTAACAGTTTCGAGCTCACGGGGACTGATAGGGGGGAAGAACTACTTTCTATAAAGAATTTTAATTATGATTTTCTTTTGTGATTCGACTTTTTTAGGCAATGTAATGAATGGTGGAATTTTATAAACTCCATCTAAACGTATATATATGTTGTAGAAAGCCATTAACGTTTCATAAGAGACTATTTTAATTTTGCCTTACTTCTCCAAAATTAATTTCAGATTCTGCACATTAAGAATTAGTCTAGATTTCTTAGCAATAAACAAAAAGATTATCATCATCAGATATAATACAAATCTTTACTAGTTTTTATTAAGATATGTTTTTCGCTAATACTTAATTGGAATTGTTTAATTTATAGAGCCAATGCTAATACCTCTTCGTATATGATTTCTTAAAAGTCGAGTGTGACTCTTCCGGCATAAAGTATCTTTATTTTTTGGAGAGGGCAATATCAATTTGAGATTACAATTCGTTCTGTACCAACTTCTCCACGCGTCAATATATTTTTGAAATACTAACATAATCCATGAAGAGTAAGTAAAGTCAATTGCGGCCATTCCTAAGAAATTAATCAATTTTTAATAAAGTAATTGATCTCCAATCGAATTTATGTTTAAAGATATTGGCCCACAGTTTGATAGAGTTACAACGAAAGCGTTTTTTAATTAAAAATTATCAACCACGATCATGAAATTATAATTTCTTTTTATAATTAGTAAAAACTTGGAGTTAAACTTAAGTAGAAAAGTCTGCTAACGTTTAAATAATGAGAACATTGTTCTTTGTCATATAGGATTAACAAAGGGTAGTAAATACCATCTCCATAGGGATTTACACATATACATATGTATATAGAACGCTGGTGAAAACCATATTTTTCTGATACAAGATTAATATAAACTTACCAAAGATACTAGCAAATACCATCAGGTGGGCACCAACGGATTTTTCGTTTTGCATGGTGGTTTTCGTGTAGTTTTCACATATTAACATCAACAGATAGGTGGTGAATACGGTAAGAGGGGTGTAAAACAGAAATGCAACCATATCTAAAGCCATCTCTGCGCCGTATTGTTCACCAGGATTCCTTAGGAAAACCAATACAGACATGGGAATGCTGTACCTGAAACAAATAATGCAACTTTTAATCGAAAAAGAAAATCTTTTTTCGTGTAACAAATACATGAAGAAAACTAACAACGCAATAATTACAATTTTCGATTTTAAATGATTGAATTTGTCGTAGAAATAGTAGAATTTGTTAAGTAATTTCTAATAATCTTAATTTTGACATGCTTCTTTAGAGATTATTTCAAGTTTCTTAATTATTACAATTAAATTTGTAATATCAACTAATAAATACCTAGTAAATTTATTTCTGCTAGGATTTTGTTTTTACAAATTCGGGTCCAACTTGTACTTTTTATAATAATTATGTGGATGATAAAAAAAAATGATACGATGACGTTGGTGACAAGGATCGAACAGATTCTTTATTTTTAACGATTCGTGAGATGTTTTATATTTGTAAAACATGTATATAATGTTAGTTATTGAAAATCCTTGAAATTTGTGCAAACATTTCGTTATTTGCTAAATTAACAATTTCCTAACAAATTACACAATCATTTCGTCAATTTTCTCATACTTAGGCACGCTTTTATCGCAGAGTTTAGTAACTCAATTCTGTCATTTTTGAGAAAATAAAAAATGTGCTAAATTATTCCAATATAACACTGTAAGAGGGTGCGTTACTGGACCTGAGATATCATTTATTACAAGGGACGATTAGGAACTTGGATATGCGAATTATTATCTTCAGTTTGATTATTCATGAATAACTAATTATATTAAGCTCATTACATATTAATTTCTCAATCATCATTCATTTTCTATGGAAAGATTGTCCAACTGATTTTATTAAGATATATTTTTCCTCTGCTAATTGTAAATAAAATGTGATTTATATTTGCCAGTTTATAATTTATAACTATTGGCACTACACCAACACTGTTCTTCGAATTCATGGAAGTCGATTGGCTTAAAAATTCTAAAAGAAATTTCTTTAACTAGTTTCACCTTTGTTTTGCTTGATTTTATTGAGTGATTAAACCATCTTTGCTGTAGACAAAAATAAAAATTACCAGTTTAAGAACCTAAGCAAGTTAAAGTTTCGAAAACATAATTTCTCGGATTCTGTACTATGTCGATTTCTAAGGTTTCTTGACGTCAGAGAACGTTATAAATCGACGTGGTTTAGAATGTAGGACGTTTTTTTTGTTTTTTTGTACATAAAATCTGTTACAGTTTAACCCGTCTAACTCTATAAATGAAATACATCACGTTCAATTGAATTCTCTATGAATTTTATGATTACGATCGAAAATCTTTGTCAATGTATATGTTTGCACAAATTTGAAGATTATAAAGAACGAGTATTTTTAGACGGCAATGGATGGACATAGGGAGAGATTTTTTTATTATAGGAAGCAATACTTGCGCCTTGTGTTTGCAGTAAGAGTTAATGCGGGTGCGTACTTTGAATTAATTGTAAGCTATCAGTTAAAGAAACTGAAGTGCGCGACCTGACATTGTTTTTGCTGCAGAACTATGGGGCTTTGGTGAGGATTGTTGCTAATATTTTTGTCAACATTTGCAAATTTTATAGAAAGTTTCATAAGCGTTATTTACCTATACAATGGGACATAATATGACGTTCTTTAATCAGTTCTATACATACGTATAATAAATAAAAACCAATGCTTGACGACAGGCAACAAAAAAAAAATATTATGCACTGTTAAGTGCAGAATTAAGGCAGAAAGTTATTTGTGGCTTATATTTTATATATGAGTACATAATATGTTGTTTGTGTATCATGTTTTCACACTGACATTTGTAGACTGTTTATTTGTTAATTACAAAAGCTCAAAGGTATACAGTAGAGAAACAATTGCAGGTATTGTTGTTATCCAAGAACTATAGCTTTGACTGCTCTAAAATTTCCTTTTTTTTTTGGTCTATTGGGGCAGTGCCGAATTAACCTTTTTCTTGTTAACTTCATTATCTCAAAAAATCTGTAGTGATGCGAGAAGAAATGATAAAAAGTTTATCTTATAGATATT